AATGTAATTTAAAAAAGAAAGGCTAACAATCATATTATCTTATCAATAGATGCAAGAAAAGCATTTGATAATTCAACATTCATTTATTATTAAAACACTCAATAAACTAGGATGGAAAGTACCTCAATATAATATAGGTCATATATGACAAACCCTCAACCAATATCAAACTCAATGGGGAAAATCCAAAAGCTTTTCTTTTAAAATCAGGAACAAGAAAGGATGCTCACTCTCACCACTGTTTTTTTTCCTCACCCGAGGACATTTTTTCATTTTTTGTTCAGATAGAGGGGAAGGGAGAGAGAGAGAGAAACATTGACATGAAAGGGACACATGAGTGTTGCCACCCGCATGACCCAACCAGGGCAGGGGACAAACTGCAACCAAGGTACATGCCCTTAGCAGGAACCAAACCTGGGTCTCTCTGGACCACAGGTCAATGCTCTAACTGCTGAGCCAAACTGGCCAGGGCATCACCACTCTTATTCAACATAGTTCTGGAAGTCCTAGCCAGAGAAATAAGGCAAGAGAAAGAAATAAAAAGTATCCAAATCAAGAAGGAAGAAGTAAGAGTGATCTTTTGCAGACAATATGCTATATACATAGAAAAGCCTAAGCACTCCAACAAAAAACTACTAGAAATAACAAACAAATACAGTAAAGTTGCAGGATACAAAATAAATATACAAAATCCACTGCCTTCCTGTATACTAACAACAAAATTTCAGAAAAAGAAATAAAAACAAACAAAACAATTCCTTTCATAATTGCAACCAAAAGAATAAAATACCTAAGAATAAACTTAACAAAGGTTATAAAAGATCTATATACTGAAAGCCACAAAGCATTATTAAAAGAGATTGAAAAAGATACAACAAAATTTTTTTAAAAATTCCATTTTCATGGATTGGCAGACTCTACATAGTTTAAATGGCAAAGCAATATACAGATTTAATACAATTCTTAGCAAAATCCTAATGTCATTTTTAAAAGAAATAGAACAAAAATAATAATAATCAGATTTGTATGGAACTACAAAAGACTCCGAATAGCCTGAGAATAAAGAATAAAGCTGGAGGTATTACACTACCTGACCTTTAATTATACCACAGAGCTAAGAAAATCAAAACAGCATGGTATTGGTAGAAAAATAGACATGCAGGCCAAAGGAACATAATTGAAAGCCCAGATATAAAACATGTATAGGGCAGATAATTTTTGACAAAGGAGTCAGAAACACACAAGGGAGAAAAGAAAGGTTCTTTAATAAATGGTGCTGAGAAAATTGGAAAGCCACATGCAAAAGAATAAAACTAGACTACAGTTTGTCTTCATGTACAAAAACTAATTCAAAATAGATCAAAAACTGAAATATAAAATCTGAAACAATACATTACATAGAAGAAAACATAGGTACTAAACTTATGGACCTTGGTCATAGAGAACATTTTATGAACTTGAGCCCATAGGCAAGGGAAGTAAAGGCAAAAAAATATATGAATGGAACTATATCAAACTAAAAGTTTTGCACAGCCAAAGAAACCAAGAACAAAACAAAGAAGCAGCTGACTGAATGGGAGACGATATTTGCAAACAATGGCTCCGACAAAAATTAATATCCAAAATATATGAAGAACTCATAAAACACAACACCAAATAATCCAAGTTAAAAATAGGCAAAGGACCTGAACAAACACCTCTCCCAAGAAGACATACAAATGGCCAACAGATATATAAAAAGATATACAACCTTACTAGCAATTAGGGAAATGCAAATCAAAACTACAACGTGATACCACTTTACACCTGTTAGAATGGCTATTATCAAAAGACAAGTAATAACAAGTGTTGGAGAGGTTGTGGAGAAAAGGGAACCCTCATTCACTGCTGGTGGGAATGTAGACTAGTAGAGACACTATGGAAAATAGTCTGGCGATTTCTCAAAACATTAAGAATAGAGTTACTAGACGATCCAGCAATCTCTCTCTTGGGTACATACCTGAAAACTCAAAAACATGTATTCGCAAAGATATATGCATCCCTATGTACATTGTGGCCTTATTCATGATGGCCAAGACATGGAGACAACAAGGTGTCCTTCTATAGAGGATTGTATAAAGAAGATAAGATGGCCAGTGTGGCTCAGTGGAATGAGTATCATCCCATGGACTGAGAGGTCCCTGTTGGATTCCCGGTCAGGGCACGTGTCCAGGTTGCAGGCTCGATTCCTAGTATGGGGTGTGCAGAAGGTAGCTGATTGATGTTTCTCTCTCACATCAATGTTTCTATCTCTCTCTAAAAAAAATTATTAGAAAAAGGTGTGGTACATATACACAATGGAATACTACTCAGTCATAAGAAAAGAGGAAATACTGTCATTTATGACAGCATGGATGCACCTTGAGAATATTATGCTATGTGAAATAAGTCAGTCAGAAAAAGTTAAGAACCATATGATTTCACTCATATGTGGGATATAAAACTGAAACTCATGCACACAGACAGCAGTGTGGTGATGGCCAGAAGGAAGGGGTTGGTGGTTGAAGTGGGCCTAATATATGGTGACGAAGGATGCTTTGACTTTGGATGGTGGGCACACAGTGCAATATACAGATCTTGTGTCATAGAAATGTACACTTGAAACCTATATGATCCTATTAACCAAGGTGACCTCAATCGATTTAATAAAAAATACCATCATTAAATATTGGTAAACCATACCATAAACCAACACATGGAATTTTTATATTTTTTTTTCTAAAAATATAGTCTAATATTTCCATCTCAGAGAACAAATTTCAGCAGCTGGTTTTGAAGTGCTTTGAAAAATTAGAGATTAAGCCCTGTTTGCAAGGTAACAGATTAGCTTGACCACACTTTCATTGATGCTTGTGGAAGAGGCAAACTCCCGGTGCGGTGCAGCAAGTAATATGAGAATTAGCGTATTTTGTGCTGGTTTTCTGAGCCCCAATTCCCACAAACGCAGGAGAAGAGGGTCAGGTAATATTTGCCTATGCAGTGGGTGTTGTTACAGGAGTAGCTCTGAGCTGAGGAATTCAAATAAGCATGCCTGCCTTTTTCTCAGGAGGGAGACACGTTTTCCATCTTCCAAAGCTCTAAGACAGTGGTTCTCAACCTTCCTAATGCCTCGACCCTTTAATACAGTTCCTCATGTTGTGGTGAGCCCCCAACCATAAAATTATTTTCATTGCTACTTCATAACTGTAATTTTGCTACTGTTGTGTCTTAGGGAACCCCTGCCAAAGGGTCGTTCTAAGCAAACCTACCCTTTGTTCAGATGGAAATACTATCTCTAGCTCCCAAGGCTCTTCCAAGGCTGTTTACTATATGGCTTTGAAAAGGTAGTCTGGGTAAAAAAGAGCAGTTAGTGCTTTGCTCATAGACATGTAGGAACACAAGACATACATGGAGAATTGTCTTTCAATATTGGTGATGGTTGAAACATCTTGATATAAACATTAGCTATGAGATACATTTTCTTCAATTTTTGAATACTGGCCCAAAGTTAACTGAATTTTTTAAATGGGAACCAAATTATTTAACAGCTGCATTCAGAATGTTTTGGAGAGTTATAATCACATAGTAATAGAAGGACCCTAAATATACATAGTGCATATGCACAATATACACACATATCTAAATAGCTTGTTTTTTCTTCCCCAATTAAAATGTAAATTTTTTAGAATAATGACTATATATGTTTGTGTGTGTGTAATTTATTTTCTTATTCTGATTCCTACATTACTTTGCATACATTTAATTAATTATATATTATAATAAAATGATATGGGTCTGCCCTCCCACTCCCCCCCCCCAACAACATTGCCAAGAGAACAACAAAAAGTGTGTTCCTGTAATCTGAGGGTTCTAATAGCTATAAAAAATGACAATATTTTCTTCTCTTCAAGATAACTTGTCTGTAGAATCTAGGACAGTGCTCCACACATAGAAGTCAGTATATGTTTTTTGCATTGTGTTGACTTGAACTCAGGAGCCAGTCTACATTTTGTAAACCAAAAATTGCTCTTGCTCAGTAATGCATGCTGTGCTTTGAAAATAGAAATTATTTCCTTTCCCTCAAATCTGTAGACAGTCATTTTAAGCTTAAAGATTTCTGTTGTTTATGATGACTCAAGTGTATAGGTGCATAAAACTGAATGAAGAATAGTACGTGCCTCTGGGAATATTTGTTTTATTAGGAGATAAGAAGTGAGTCAAGGAGTGCCTATTTTTTTCCTTCCTCCAAGAACTGTCCTCCCCACCCCACCCCCAACCCTCATTTTCATCCTCTTCAATAGGAATTTAGCAGCCAGAGTTTAGGGTTGAAATATTATTCGTGGAAGTTCCCCCGGAGGCTTACTCATCAAAACAATGCTTTGGAAAACACTCTGATATTCTTTTCTAAATTAAACACTTCAACAACAAATGCTGAAAGTACAAAATGTTTCCGTACTCTTTCCGCATCAAAATTACCTCCTACAGAAACTAGCAAATGTGTGTCAATGTGAATTATCACTACAGCGGCTGCTCGCGGGGTCACTCCGGGGTCTCTAACACAAAGGGTGGGAGAGGGGCGTGGGGAGGTGCAAGGCGTCGCTGCCCCGCCTGGCCAGGCGACGCCTGCCGGAGTAACCTGCTGGGGAGCGGGGACCCGGAGCCGGCTAAACTTGGGGATCGGGATATATGAACGCCTCCTAAATTGGAGTCCTTCCCAAAGGAGTCGGGCAGAGAGGCGAGGGGTGTGTGAGCGAGCTGAGGGGGTGCTTTCGCCGCAGCGAGGTCTGAGCTGGATAATTAGAGAGGAGTTGAGCGGAACCGAGTCCCGGGTTTAGCCGCGGCAGCCAGAGCCGCCGCCGCCGGAGGGGCGCGCACAGGGAGAGGCCGGCGCCCCTCGGCAGCCCACCGCCCCGGCGGCGCCCGGAGCACAAAGGCGGCGGCCGCCCGCGTGGCCTTCTCCACCCAGGCGTTCAAGTCCCGCTCCCACTCCTCTCTGGAAGCGAGAATGGCAGGGCCGGGCGAGGGCCCGGGACAGCGGTGGCCCTAGCTCCGCACCCCCGCCCCTCCCTCTGGGAGAGGCAGCGGGCTACTCGCGGACCATGTGGCCGCGGCTGCTCCCCAGCGCATCTTGCGTCCGGGTCCCCGCTACCGCCCCTCTGGTCCGCCGGATCCATCCCATCGAGCGGAGTGGATGCTGCTGTCACCGCCGCCGCCGAAGCCGCGGCTGATGGATGCCGGGGAGTGCCGCATTGCCTAGCGTCCCCGCCTCCGGGTTTGCTGGTAGGAGCCTTCTGCTCGTTCTTCTCTCGTGCTCTGGGGTTTTATGGAAAAGGTAGAGACATTTTGATTTTATTCTCCGCTCCTCTTCTCCACCCTCTCACACCACCGAGCATTCGTAATGTACCTTCCCAGAGAGATCCCCCAGCCCCCCGCTGCAAGTCCTTTGAAATAAAGGGCCAGAGAAAGGCAGGAGTTGGGGGTGGGGTTAGGGGGAGACCACACCGGTGCCAACGCCACCAAAAACCCTCTGGTGCCTTATGAGATCACGGGTGTATCTAAGAGGGGCGGAGGGAAGGTGAGCTATCTGCAAAGTGCCCACCTAATTGGATCATAATAATTTGAAATAAAATCCTACAAATGTATATTTTTAAAATAGATTCTTTGAATAAGCAGAAGGAGAAATAAGCTCCTTCCTCCCCCCCCCCCTTTTTTCTTTCTTTTTCTTTCTGGCAAAGACGCTCTTTCCCCGCCTGGAGCCCAGCACTGAAGAGCCACCTTCTTATTAACCAGAAGCCCCATCGTTGTCCCTGGCTGGAGCATCCTTGTGTAGGGGCCGCAGAAACATCCAAGTGCCGGGGCTGAGATGCGCGTGGGGGTTGTTTTTGTTACATCTTGGGAGAGACGAGGACAGTACCAAGATCAGCGCCACCCGTGCCGGGTGCGATTAGGGGTGTTTTGCTAGCGGAGGGAAAGGACAGGCAGAGGCGCCCTGGGACGGCCAGAGGTCCACATCTCCTTAAAGGAAAGGGAGGAGGGAACCAAAGTGGGGGCATTTTCTTAAGGCAGTGGGGAAAGAAGTTTATATCCTTCGTAGGAAAGCTGTGGGAAAGCGGGAGCAACAGGGTACTTGATTGGCCACCAAGACAAATCATTTCCTGTAAAGAAGAGGAAGCAGGCAGCTTCGAGGTTTGGAGGCCAGAGTGTGGTGGTGGCAAGGGCCAGGTTGTTGTGGGACAGTTAACAAGAAGAGGGAAGGCTAGGTTCAGACAAAACAATGACTCATTTACAAGCTGGGCTGTCTCCTGAGACCCTGGAGAAGGCTCGCCTGGAGCTCAATGAGAACCCAGACACACTGCACCAGGACATCCAGGAGGTGAGGGATATGGTCATCACCAGGCCGGACATTGGGTTTCTGCGCACGGATGATGCCTTCATCTTACGCTTCTTGCGAGCCAGGAAGTTTCACCACTTTGAGGCCTTCCGCCTCCTGGCCCAGTACTTTGAATACCGGCAACAGAACCTGGACATGTTCAAGAGCTTCAAGGCCACTGACCCTGGCATCAAGCAGGCACTGAAGGATGGCTTCCCTGGGGGCCTGGCCAATCTGGACCACTATGGCAGGAAGATTCTAGTCCTTTTTGCTGCCAACTGGGATCAGAGCAGGTAAATCCTAAATCCCAACTCATATTAGGGATTCTTTTATTCTCCCATTTTCCAGAATTTACCCTCAGTAGTGTCATAGCTTTAAAGCTTTGATGCTTTTGTTTATTTGGTTGGGGAAAAAAGAGAAAATGGAACTGAAAATGAGCTTTTGCTGGACACCCAGGGGTAGTGGGAGGAGGGCTTTTCTTTTTCTTTTTTTTAACCTTTGTTACTCTTACTTCACTAGCACCTAGTTTTTACTGCAGCTTTAAGTGCTTCCTGCTCCCTGATATTGTGCTGCAATCAAAACCACTTACCTTCTAAAGAAATGTGCTAAAATTTTCACCTCCTGAACAAGTTGACTGTTCTGTGGAGAAATTAGTATGAGGATGGAGACTTTTCCTCCTTCCTTCTAAAGAAATTATTAAACTAGATTCATCATCATCATCATCATCATCATCATCATCATCTCTGTCTTTAGTACTGAGATTTTATTTTTAAGGATAGCCTGGCATTCTACCAAGATCAAGTAGCTTTATTACTTGGGAACTTTTCTGCTTGGTGATGTGCAGATGAAGGAATAGTGCAATGTGTGTCACTTCAATGAAAAGGCAGAGTTGCATCCTCTGTCGCTGAGCATGCCTACAACGCTGAAATAAAGGCTTATTGGTGTGCCTGCTTGGCACCTGTCACTGATCTAAAGAAGATGCTTCCTGTCTGTTGTGATTTTTCATCTTTTGGAAGGAAGTGGAAAATGTTCAGCTATGTCAGTTAGTAGACTTTTTTGATCTCTCTTGCTTTTTAATGGAGGAGAAATCAGAGTTTTATTGTATCTACATCATGAGAGAAAAGAGCAGAGAGTGAGTTTTCTACTTCCTCAATCAGAATTCTTTTCTCAGATATAACAGATATAAGATATTATAAACACTCTTGTGTAAGGTAGTTTCAATTAAGTTCAAAGTTAATGTATTCCATGGAACTTAAACATGTTTATCAGAACTATGAATCATAAGAAGCTGGTTGTTAAAATAGTGGTGTATTTTTTAGTTTTGTGTGTGGTGACTTTTGATGCATCAGGTTAGTTTAAACCATCTCTGAAGCAATTCTAAAAGACTTTTTCAGTGACTGGGAAATCTTATAAATCTCCAGATAGGCCTCAGAGTCTTGGGATCTTAGAATGCAAATTAATATTTTTAACAGGTTTTTACCCTTTAATTGTTTATCTTTCCTCTGTAATTCTAGGTTGAGAACAACTCTGATTATTTTTTAGGCAAATATAAAGACAAACTACTACATGAGGAACCTTAAAATCATAAAACTAAGAAGCTTTTAGAGAGAGTTAGCCATTGAGGGGGAATGGAGTCTCATTACCTACTTTGGTTAATTATAGAGATCATATTCTACTTTTTATCAGGTAATAAAATTTAAAGGACAATGAAATACCATTCTTTAACCACAATTTTTCTTCAGTTTTTTTTTTTTTTAAATCTGAGAAGTTGGGTCATGCAAACCAATGATTGTGTATATCCAAATTGAAAGCTTTTATTCAAAAAAGAATTTACTATTCCATTGGTCAGTTAGATTGGAACTTTGTTTATTAAGCTACAGTTATATAGAAGCTGTGGAAATTTTATATTTAAGTATGTCTCAAAGTTTGAAAGGCATCGTTAACAAGGCAGATATTCATTTTTATTTTTTATTGAACTTATTGGGATGACATTGGTTAATAAAATCATACAGGGTTTCAAGTGTACAACTCAATAAAACATCATCTGCATACTGCATTGTGTGCTCATCACCCATAGTAAAGTCTCTTTCCATCCACTTACCCCCCTCTTTGCCTGCTTCCGCCTTCTCACACCCCCCTTTCTCTCTGGCTCTCACTATACTGTTGTCCAGGTCTATGTGTCATATATCTATATTTTTTTCTTTGCTTAATCCCTTTACCTTTTTTTCACCCAGCCCCCTAACTCCCCTTCCCTCCAACTGCTGTCAGTCTGTTCTATGTATCTCTGCTTCTGTTTCCATTCTATTTCTTAAATTATTTTGTTCATTAGATTCCACATATAAATGAGATCATATGGTTTTCTTTTTCTGACTGGCTTATTTCACTTGGCATGAGACATGCATTTACATTAGACCTATTTTAATTTATTTTTATAAATGAACTAATATTCACATTAATTTATAAACCTAATTAAGATGAAAATCACTTAACTGTTCTCATGTATATGGGAAGTTGATTATTCCAGATTACTAAAGAAACTATGTTTTTTTGGGTCTATTTCATACTTTTATATAAAGGATCGGTTATTAGTAATCAAAATTCATCTCCTTGGAAATCTACAATGGGAGATTTATTAATTGGTATATCGAACTATTTTTATTAAATCTACATATAATTTAAAAATATTACAAAATTTGTACATGTGAAATTAAAAATGAGAAGCTGTGTCCTGTAAAAATATTCTGTTACGTTCTAGACTAATAATTGTGAAATCTATTTCTATGGATGAAAATGAATAGACATAATCATGAAGTTATAGTACATCAAGGTCAAAAGGTATACAAGTTATTTAGAGCTTGACTAGAATTCAGTTGAGTTTCCTTCTCCTATATTCTTAAACAAAGTCATTCCTTCCTTTTTCCAGCCTGCCCCCATCCTAGACCTACATATACCCAATAACAAGGACTAGTGGATAACAGGTCTATTCTCTTGGCATCCTCTGTAAACCACTGTCATTGGGATATGTGCATAAGAATGGCCCTGAAACCGGAAGGACAGCTGCTTTCCTGTCAGTACCAGGTGACACCAGCCCTTTTCTTACCTTTGACCAGATTCCCTTTCTGTCTTCCACTCTGCAGCCTCAAGTCTTATTTGACTTGACTCCTACAGAATTTTCTACCATCTTCTCTAGATGTTTACCTTACTACTGCTCTGTTAGGTGGATAGCCATGTGCCAAATTCTCTCATTCCTCTCCTGTCCTGTGAATCAGGTGTTCGCACCTTCCTACTCTGATCCCACTAGCCCAGACAACCTGGATCTCTTGAGAAGACTGACTGCACATCTAAACATAATTCTGGCCACCGTCCTTGAGTTGCAGTGATTTACCTGGCTTTCAACAAGGTTTCTTTGTTGTTGTTGTTGTTGTTTTAAGTAGCATAATTTTAAAGAAAAAATAGGTAGGCAAGTCCCAGAAATGAGGTAGAAAAAAATGTCCCCCTTTATTTGGAAAATAGGCCATTTCCAACTTCCTAAAAGGAAAAGGAAGATTTTTAAAATGAGTTTTGAAGAACTTTGTAAAGATCTCTGAAATAATTAATCTATATAACAAAAAAGACTAAGCCTTATGTTATTATCTTTATAAGAGCACCTGAGCTAGAGTTAATGCTCACTATTTGTTGAGTTGAATTCAGTTATGCATTAAAAAACAATTCTAAGTAGGAAGTTACCTAACACTACTTTCTCCTACATTAAATTTGTAGGACAATTTTCTGTGTTTCTCAAGAGACTGAAAATAGCAAATGTGTGTGTGATGGTGACTATAAATAAAATAGTGTCTCTTTCTACTGTAATATAATGCAGGTCAGTTTTAGCATATTGAATTAGACCATTTCCAAATCCTTTATAAGAGACATGGAATTTTCAGGAAGACTACCTACCTTCTAATAAATCTTAAAAAAAAAAAAAAAGAAATACTGAAATGTCAAAACGACTTTTAATTTAGTTTGTGGTTCTTTCTAAAAAGAATAAAACAGGCTTAGATGACTTATTACATTTATTGAGCAGGCTGTCCTTGAAAGATATTTATATAGTTTTATCTCCTTTCTTTCAGATAATCTTACATAATTTTTGAAAACGAGTACATTTAAGAACAATTGGATTATTTCGCTGCATCACTAGAATGCAGTAGCCCTCTATGCATTACATCTTGTATTTCTTTCCTGAGTGATAGTGGCCCTGCTTAAGACTCAGCAGATACTATCTAATTTCCACCTGATTTCAACAGAATGTGAGGATAATGTACCATGAAGTTAGAAGAGATTACACTACCTTAAGAAAAGGAAGTTTGAAATAAAAATAGATCATGATCTGCACCCTAAGGCATGAGAGCAGGTATCTGAGTAGTCAAAATTTACTGACATATATATTTATTGGGAATATTCATGACTACGCCGTGTCACCTGAAATATAATGATGGCAGTCTGATAGTTGGCCTGTGATTTTTTAGTTAGCCTGTAACTCGCATTTTATCTCATTACTTATAAAGTAGTTCTCTATACTTTAGAACACTAAAAATTTATCTGGGATCTGGTTAATAACCACGAGAAAACAATTAAGTACAGCTAAACTAAAATGATTCTTAATATAGTGGTAATTCAGAAAGCACTGACCATCTCGCACTCTGTTTGGCTTGTCATAATGGACATTGATTATCACTTAGAGTAATGAAGCTCTGGAAGGGGTAGGAGGCTGACTGGTCAGACATTGCTATGATCCTGAAACTTATCATGGAATTTGACTTAAAAAACGTATCATTGTCAGTTAACATTGTATAGCTTCTTCATAAATACACACACACACACACACACACACACACACACACATACACATGGTTAGCTATTTGCAGCTTAAGAGTGAATTATGATTATGCTTCCATTTATTAAAATAATGTCACCAATCTCCCATTTGAAAGAAGGTTTATGATGATAATAACTTAAAACATTTAAAAACTAACCATGGATGCCCTGGCTGTTTTGGCTCAGTAGTTACAGTGTCCGCCCGCAGACCAAAGAGTCTCAGGCTCGATTCCAGTCAAGGTCTTGGTTGTGTTTGGGTTCCTGGTCCTGGTCCCCTGTTTGGGGTCAGATGGGAGGCAATCAATCAATGTGTCTCTCTCCCTCTCCCTCTCTCTCATGCTATCTGAAAATAAATGGAAAAATATTCTTGGCTGAGGATTAAAAAAAAGTAACCATGGACTACCCACGTAATTTTTCAACCTGTTTTTTCAAGAGCTTT